CATAAGGGGTGTAAGAGGTACAACTTCAGAATATAAAAACGGCGTATTTTTGGTTTGATTTGGATATGCTCTTATGCAGATGGATAATCCATAGGTGTTTGTGAACGAAGGAAGCGAACAACCAATCCGCCCAGTAAGTCTTGCGACGACTTCCAAGCAACAGCCCCTGACCTACCCCACAGTCTAGACGGACGACCAAACAGGCAGCAATTTGACACACATTTATTAATACAACTGTACAAGCAACTTGAAATTTCAATTCCAGAAGCTGTCCAAGAGGACACCGTAGCCACCGTCCAAGGCCGTCTCTGTCTCCAGGTACTGTTCCACGCAGGTGATGAGGGCCAACTCAGGCACCGACTGCGACGTCGACTTGGAGGCCTTCAGCGTGTCAAGGATGTGCTTGAAGAGTCGACGAGCCTGTCTTTTGTAGAGCTTCAGCAGCACATAACCGCCCATCTCAATCAGACCGTGGAGAACCTGCAAGGAAAGGCCACAAACACGACTGTTTAGGCATTCACAACATTCCGCTCATGGCACGGATCAACTACCTGGCCGCTGATACCGTTAGTGAGCATCAAAGAAGTCAGCACACCACCAGGTGTTTCAACAACCACGCCGCAGGCAGTGGCAGTAAATTTTGCGCCTGATCAGTCGTCACTGATTTGGTTGTGGGAAATTGAAAGATCTGCGTCGCTAACGGTAACAGGTTGTGTCAGGCGAATTCCATTCAGATGTCGAGAAACTTGACAAATCCTACACACATCATGCAAATCGCGTCTGGGTCTAGAAGCTGTCATCAGCACAGGGCTTCAATGCTACGGCTTCCAGCGTGTGAATGACCTTCGAAAGTGGGGATGGCATTTTCCAGTGACAAGTAGAGCTGACCTCGAACAACGCGCCTACCTCGGCAGTCGCCTGGGCTACAAAGGGCTGCCTCACGATGCCGGCGATGGTGATCCACAGGAGACGCGGATTCAGGAGAGCAGGACGCTTCGCGAAGCCGGGCGGCGTGCGAGCCAGCAAAACGGCCGCAAACAGCCGGCAAACGCCACGCCACTTCTGCAGAACGCCTTCGTCCACGTCCTCAACGCCGTCCACGTAGGCCGTCAGAAGGGGACAATTCGAGGCTACACAGGCGAGGAAGTTTGGCTAAAACAGAGAACAGGAAGGGCGATGTACTCGGTTGAAGAACTAAACTCCTCTGAGTCAAAAAGTTCGAGGCTACGCAGGCGAGGACGTATAGCTAGTACCAGAAAAACAAGGCATACGCACTAAAAAGTTTGCGTATTTTAAAATAAAGTGGTTGACTCGAAGGCGACCGAGCGACCGCATAAACAGACGGAACGTTAAGGTTTCTTATCAAATTATTTTAAAAGCGCCTCTTGATCAACACTATACCTCATCTGGAGCAACTAGCTTTCTGCATTCTACTTACTGCAATCTTTACAATTTTGGGAACAGAAGATGTTAAAGACTAATTTATTGTAAACAAAAGAGTGATTTCTAATTGCAAAGCATCAATTTTTTGACAAAATAATGTCCCCAACACCTTGCCATCGTCAATTTTCGAAAAATGACCTGATGCGCCCCCCCCCCCTTTCTGCAAAATATTTGCGCCAAAGGCGACAAGAATGCAGAAAGTGATAATAAGGCGTCCAAACCACGACGATTTTCGCTGTAAACCCCCAGTAATTTCAAGAGATCACTAACAGACATTAACGTTGATAAAATCGATCAGAAGTGACACGAATTCCAATCTCATGGACTTACCGTCTGCTCGGGAAACCGCGACAGCAGAGTGGCCAGAACAGCAGCGAACGGCAGTGCGGTGTCCAGCGAGAACGCAAACTGGCGCTCGGCCTGGGCCACAGCAGACGTGAGGAGGCAGTTCCAGGCGAAGTCTGCGCCCACCTCATGGGACAGGCTGAATACGCTGGCGCCCGTCTGGCTGCCCCCGGGCAAGCGCACAGGGGACCCCTCGAGAAAGGCGAGCAGGTACTTCAGTCGGTTGAGACAGTGATCTGGATCAGTACCTGTGATCTTCAAGGGGAAAAGCATTTACGTCGAAGGAGGTGAAGGAAGGCGATAGAGTGGTCTGGCAACAAAACACAATCCGACATGCCTGACTGCAAGCCGACCCAATAACCATCTTTACTGACGACGTGGTTGATCGCAGGTCAGGATTAGAGAAAAGGTGGAACAAGGAGTCACTTGTGCTGCGGTTGATTGCAGCCGCGTCACGCTGGGAGAAGCCGGGAATTTGTAGGGCCTCAGGAAGAACCACCGTCGATACCTGAAAGACGGAACATCGAGTGGGTGATAGACAAGATCGTACACCTCGCGTCAGTGTAAAAGCAAATCAATTCATTAACGTACCCGGTTAGCCCTGTCAGGCGACTTTTCATTGCGTCTTGTTTCCCCACGAACAAGGGCATTAGCGTCCTCAAGACACCGCTCAGCATTCTCCAGGTAACGATTAAATATTTCATTGATCCGATCAGCAATCTCCCATTCCTCCCATCCGCCTTCGTTCGTGGGAGGCAGTGTGAGGAATATCAGTGCCTGCGTCTCGACGTCTTGAATACGTCGAAGAATATCGGCCTTTTGGCCTAAAGTTTGGATTAATGGACAGGTAAGCACGATGTATCAGTGCATTGACCGAAAAAAGCACACAAATAAAGGCGCTTGCCTTGGAGAGCATCATCCAGTGGAATTGAGGCAAGGGACGCAAATATCTGTTGTCGAAGACTGACAATTACTTGCATACTGCTTATCAGCTCCTCCGTGAGACTGAATTCCATCTGAGGCGGTTCCACAAGCCAAGATGGCTGCTCGTCAAGATCATCTTTAGTTGACAACTGTCGTGAAGATAAGGAAACTTGGTTCGAGTCCGGTGTTGAGGGCACAGGCATAGGACGAGAAGTAACTCGACGCATCTCCTGAGAGACTCGCTTCAAGAGCTGACGCATTCGACGTATTTTATGTGCATGAGTCATTCTGTTAGTCAACCACGACAAACACCTAAAAGGTGAACAAGTTGTACTTACATAAGTGACTTCCATCAGACTCAAAACGCTGCAAACAACAACTAAAGTTTATGAACAGACTGACTACATCTAACGTGCCTGATTAACGTTGACATCATACGACAAAACCTGAAACTATTAAATGAAACGCTTACACTAAAGTTAATTGATGCTGAAGGTGCATATTATGACTGTTTGGACATAAGTAGAGTCACACAAGGACTGACGATGACTAAAATTGCCCGAAGTCATAACTACTCGAAGCCTATTAATCAGTTCGCAAGTCCAGTTATCACAAAACCACTAAATCATTGACAGAACCCTGATTATATACATATAAGACTCAATAAAAGAAATACCACAAATATCATATTAATGAAAATAATAACCAAGAAAATTTGTGCAACACAGATCGGATTAAGGGCCATGCGCACACCTTTTTACAAGAAAAAGTTCTAGGTCCTCGAGAAAAACCAATTAGAAAATCAAAGGTCTGGCAAGCGACGGTTATTAAATAAATTGAACTATTTAGCAATATGCCTGACTTCAAATTATATATCCGTCCTAGTTGTCTTACCTGGATTTTTGAAAGTAATAAGGAAAAAACTGAACATTCAAAACTGGAATTACGTTAAATTCATACAAAGTTATATGATTATGGAAAAAAGGTCAAACGACCGACAGAATTCGAGTCAAATATACAATGTGAATTACTTAAATCGTCAACGAGAATGTAATTGGCACACCAATACAAACAAATAAAAATATTTGTGTCTTCCAAGGTTTAAACTTTAGAATATTTAAACAAATGTTCAGATAATCAATTAACAAAAATTAATTTATTTTCTAATTACTGTATTACTAACAAAAAAGCAAAATTAGTGCTTACATTATTAGGCAAAGTACATAAAAGGAAAAGTTCATATAATATTTCGCTCTTGTCACCATTTGATGGTTTAAGTCATTGAACGATTCTTCTGACATCAAATAATTGCTACATTAAATTTTTTTAAAACAAAAAAGTACGTTTTACATTAAATCAGTTTTTGTATGCTTATCTTTGCGTAAATCGCTTCCATATATGATGATTTGAAATTTTTAAAAATACCAGATGCTCCAATTAAGTAGAGAAGTAATTATCAATGTAGCAACATTCATTTTTTGAATTTTATTTTGCTTTCTCACCTACTTAAATGGTTTATAATCTATGCTTAAATGCAGCATTTCTTACAAGCCTTATCCCAGAAAATGGAGAACTCTATTCAAAAAGCAAATGTCAAATTTTAATCAACAGTAATTCTAATGACCCGTAGTATATTTTGTAACATACCTTGCCTTTTTTCATGATAACAGTGGCCTATTGAAAAATCGTTAAATTCTTAACGATTAACTGCCATTCTCGTCACTCAGCACGGCATTTTATGCATTACCCTAAACGTAAACTCATTCTTTAATCATGTCTATGTAAACCCCACCAAATATGATTTATTCGCATTTTGCACCTTAGGTCGACGACTTTATAATAACCAATCTTTAAATTATCAACGAAATAGGTGGAAAAGTTTTAGTCATCTCCTATGCCGGCCTCTTCTTAATTATTCATTTACACCAAGAAATCATTCCATGTCATTTAAATTCAATGACCAGGTAATTTTAAAAAAATATAATTTTTCGACTTTAGAATGCTTTCAGTTCTGTAATGCTGCCCCCTGTATTAAGTTTGGAAAAAAAACAGGGCAAAAAATTTGCTCATTTTAACGGAACACGACACTTCTAGGCAAGCACTAATGGACTGCGAATGTCGTCATTAATTTTTCTTATTACGAGCAAATGTACAATGGTGCATGCTACGAATAGTACTGATGCAGTGCACTTGTATGCGACCTGAGTAGAAGATTAAAAAAAGTTTATTCACGAATGCCACATATATAACGGCGAACAATAAGGGACAGCGTTTATTCCCTTGAATTAAAAAATTCAAATTATGGAAAAAATTGTACTAAAATCGCAATTATAGATGACTTTTATACGTGAACAATTTTTGCTTGCCAAGAAATATGCATACCATTTATTGAAGCTGCTCGAAAAAGCATTTTGGTTTATTATGAGTTTTTAAAATTTGCTGGACATAAATTCACAATCTAACTCTTTGTTCGAACGTAAACCGTATTGAGTATTTCGAAAAGGAGACGAAGAATCCTAAAACCTAAGAGCATACAGAGTACTTAATTCCAGTTTTTATCATTACTTGGATTTTAATTAATAAAGAACGACGGATATTGAAATCGATACTGTAAAAACAAGTTTTGAATAATAGATTGCAAGTGTGGTCCTTCACACCACAAATGCGAATTTAAAATAATTTCGCAACTATTTGACCAGAAAATAAGACATTTGTTTCAAAATTTATGATTTTGAAATCTGACAGTTCTTCTTCTAAAATTTGAACGGAGCATTTTTTCAAAAAGTAGGCTTTTATATTTGCAAGGCTATATATGTGCTATACCATACGCAATTTGTGTTATTAATAAATTTGTTGATGCCACTTACTAACATGAGGTGAGCATGTGTTAAATTTAAAAGGTGACAGTTTTTATGTTAAACAAGAAAGAGCAAGAATTGATGCACTTGAGAATTGTTTTATTTATTAACCTGTGTCCCCAACTTTCTTGATTTTACTACAGAACTGAAAATTAAGGAAAATCTAGTTTTGTTTGTTCTGCGATTTTGGTGAAAAAAAATAAAAGTTTAATGCTAAGTTAACGTTTTTAATAATGTTATTTAATTTTTTTATTTGCCATGTTACTGTCTGCTTTGTTTAACTGACTCTGTTTCTTTAATATTTGTTCTAGGTGGCAAGTTCATTTTTTATGTTTTTTGTGTGTTGTCTTGTTTGACTTGACAGCCGAGTATTCTATTGAGCATATGGATAGAAATAATAGGGAAACAATTACTGTCCTTAAATGTCATGTAATTAACCTTAGTGAAATTTAGTCAACATACTTGGTTAGTTTCATACTTTTAATTTGTAATTTTTCGCTGGAAATGTCAATTTCCCCGTCTTGAATATTGCCATCAAAGTAATCCTCTTCTAGGTGCTAAATTATTATTATTGTTTGCAATATTCGCAAAGCATTTTTTTCTTTGTCCTACTTGCAGAGTCCAAATGCTTGGTTTCGCGAAAACTGGCGCTTCTGTTCAAAAACTTCTTGATTTACTTCGCTGTGACAATTGTTCTCGAACTCTTCATGAGCCCTACACCACTGGGGTGTGCACTCACACCCTGTGTATGGACTGTTGCTGTAACAGTCTACCCCCCGCTGGGAGTCGGTCAAAGAGGCATACTGGTTCTGCGAACGTTTGTCCCAAATGCAATATTCCCGTCCGTCCCTGTGACGCCAAACCTCATCCACAGCTCTCCTCACTAGTGCTCGTGGCTCGTAGGCTGGCAAAACTTCTTAGCTTGCCACCTAGCACCTACAGTGAAGAAGTCACACCGTTGTCTAGGAATACGATTGGTTTAAATGGTACTTTTCCCCTGTTCGTGTATGCTTTTATCGCTCTTGTTAGGCAATTGTACCGATAAATGAATTCGTAAGATAGTTTGCGTAAAACCTTTGGGTCAGTAGTTAGGAGTCCAACCTGATAATGATTTATTACTCTACTTCTATTCCTAATTGCTGATGTTGTTCTGTTTAGTGTAATTAAGTTTTCTATTGTGAAAGCAATCCTATTTGCAGATCTTGAACATGATTTGCCTAACCTATAGCTAGCAAGCGGCAACTCGCAGCCTCACCAAACGTCCCTCCAAAATGGATAAGTGCTTCGGTTTAATTGTGATCAAGCTGGCATTTCCATAACTCTTTGTGCCTCTGGCACTGACCGTTTGTAGACGGTATAGATTTTATAAAGAAGGATGCATACTGTCGCGTTGAGAGCCCGTCTCCTCCATCCGATTCCCAAAAAGAATTGACACCTGCCAGTCATGCTAATGCGACTCCGCTAGCCACCGCGATCTCGCCAGTTGAATGTGCAGTTGTGTAAGTTTTGCCGTGCTTTAAACAGTACATCTCAATATTTAGTTTGGCTTGATGGTGGAGGTGTGTCCCAACTTTCTTGAACGTAGCCCTTTTAATTCATTACCAACGGCAATAATTGATCATCGATCTGGTATTTTCGTGTCTCTTTCTTAGATCTGCGATTGCGCTGCCTGAGAACGCTGAGGTTGTGGAAATTGAACCACTTGAAACCACGTCTCCTGAGGTTTTGATGATGCCGCCACCTCTCAATCCTGGCGCCAAATCAATCAGGAGATCCGGACCTAAGCAGCACGTTGCCACATCGTCCTCCGAAGAGGTATGTCCATGTTTGTGTGTTTCGCAAAACCACCCCTGTGTGTTGTCATTCTAGGAATCCCGATTCGATTGTTAGACACACCTTAAAGTTTTGATGGTTCAGTAACCAAGGATCTCCCATCGATGCATAACAAACATCTGAGTTGAAAGAAGATACCAGCATCATTGTGTGCCCTTCACTTTTGTCATCCTTGTCTTTTCACCGCCTCATCACTGTCCTAGTCTCCTTTCTGTTTTCAAGCCGGTGATCCGGGTTTTGAAACAAACACCCAGGGAGACTAAGAACGGAGACAGGACCGTTTATTAGATACCTCAGCAATGTTGAGTCGCGTACTGTGCATTAGACGCCGTGCCTGGCAAGCGGGAGCTGTTGATCACTACTGTATGGTACAAATATCAGAATGGCCAGATGAATGGACCGAGTAGTGGTAGAGGGTATATGCCAAGGTGGGGGTGAGCAGACGGTCGCGTCGTGAGAAGAGGGCGAAGTTTGCGGCAACAGATTCAATGGACGTGAATCCACACGATTTACCACAAATGCAATGCTCCTACTTCTTCTACCATGTCACATCTTAACCAGTAAACGCCGTACACTCGTGCCTCATTTGAGGTGTTCGAATTTCTCGCTAAGTGAACACGATCCTTTACTCCTCGTTAGGCCGAGTCTGATCCGAAGGCGCCTCTCGCATCACCCGAAAAGTCCTGTCTAACAGACACCTCGTTTGCGGAGAAGCCAAACAACACGTCCCGCTCGTCACTGGGACGGAAGAAGCCAACTCCGCTGAAGCGAAGCGCAACACTCAAACTCCCCTCGGTGGAACTCAGGACCACGAAGCGTTCCAGTGCCATTTGCAAGTCCAAGTCAGCTTTGGACGTAAGCGGCGGTGTTGCCGGTTTCAAGACCTTTATGTCTACTGTCGAGTTGAAATTGAACAGCAAGGGTGAAAGTGTCATCCACCGAGCCGCCATCAAAAATGACGTGCCCCTGTTAAAGAAGCTCCTTGCCAACGGACTCTCGCCGAATATTCGCGACCACGCTGGATGGACGCCGTTGCACGAAGCGGTTCTGCGAGGACATGTCGAGGTTTGAGGCTGTTTTGCGCTATTTGTAGCCGCAACTAGTTCCACCTAAGCGAGGCGGTTTATCCTCGGACACATTTTAGGCGGCAGAATGCCTTCTGAAGGAGGGCGACGCTGTGGTGGATATGCCAGGGGGACCCGACCTGGAGACAGCCCTCCACGAGGCCGTGGTGAACCGTCGTGTGGAGTGCGTTCAACTCCTTCTGCGTTACCACGCCGACCCCAACTTTACCAACGGCCATGGTTTAACCACCCTACAGGTGTGCGATAAAGCCATTGAGGAGAATCGAGCGGCTGTGTTAGTGAAAGATCGTTCTAGGAAGGACTCCAAAAAATACTGCCACGCGTCGCAGGCTCTGGAAACTTTCAAAACCATCAAGGGCATTCTTGAGGAAGCTTCCACGACGCAGTCATCTAAGCCACCGACACAGGACGATGCGTCACTTAAAGCAGAAGGCGACAAAGCTTCCAATTCCGCGGCCTCAAAGATTTTTACCGAAAGGTAGGTGTCAGGTTTTCGAGTCTGTGTTTCACTCGGATCCTCTCTCTCTCTCTTTTTTCCTCAGAAGGCGTCTTCGACCAGTCATTCTGGGTACTGGATTGAGTCGGCTACAGCGCACGCAGCTAGCCCGCGTGGCGTCGATCATCCACGCGCGCGTTGCCTCGGAGATGTCATCGGAAGTGACGCACCTCATCACGGGCACCACCATCGGCACCTCACCGAAGGACAAGAAGAGAAAGAAGGCCGATCCGGCTAAAACACCGACATCCGCCTCCCACCCTGGAGCCACCTGCCCCCGCACCCTCAAGTTCCTCCTCGCCGTCCTCCAGGTAACGAGCGCGAGTTTCGGAAACAGTCGTCTTTGTTGCCGATGCTAGCTTATGTGCCTTTTTGTCGCGTAGGGCTGCTGGATCCTGTCCTTCGATTGGATAGAGACCTGCGAAGTCGTCAAGATGCGCGTGGAAGAGGAGGCCTTCGAGGTGATGGGTTGCAACGCGTCACCACAGAGCGGCTCCTCGCGACGGGCCCGGCGTGCTCGCGAAGCTGGCTCAGCTGGACTGTTCCACGGCTTCCGCTTCTGCCTCCTGGTAAGTCTGTGCCCGGACGTCTGGCCTTCGCTGTGCTCCGTCAGCACTCTATTCCCGTGTTGTTCTTGCGTGCAGGGCAACTTCGCCTATCCCACGCCAAGTCGAGTCGATCTCGCGGCCCTGATAACCGCGGGCGGGGGGACCGTGTTTTCGCGCGAAATCTCATCCCCCTCGCGACTCGCCTACCTAGCTGTTGACAACCCAGTCATTGCCGGTGATTGGACGGTCCAAGCACAACTCAATACCTCGGTGGGCGGTGACACGGCGCCGCCGTCGCCGCCTACTCCCACGCCTACAGATCGCACCGTCCATCTGCACCAACTCATCGCCCTCTTTGATACACGTGTTTCGGATTCAGGCAACAGTGGTGATGGGGATCCCAAGCCGGGTCAAATCAGCAGTCCGAACCAACTAGTGAATTCGGCGTTGTCGATGCTTCAGCCAAAAAAGGTGATCCAGGAGACTGCTGTACCTCCCATTCGACTGCTTCCGGCAGCTTGGGTGATGGATTGTGTCGCTGCCTACTCAATTTTGCCAGCTCCCGACAACGTGCCCCATTGACAGCGCGTTTGTGCTTGTTGAATTGGCTTACAATTGTGTTTTTTACTATGAATCTCAATGCCCCTATCCACTCCTTGGAGGATTTTATCATACTAACCCCGTATATTAATCCCATTATCATCTTGTTATGATACGTTGGCATACCCTGAACGTGTTGCTACGTCGTGGTGTAGCAAAATTGAACCTTATTTACGAAGTGGACTTTAAAGGGACATTGGTGCCGCGTCAGTTGGGTCGAATCGTGAGCTGCCTTGGCAACAATAACAGTGTCAGTGCTAACGCAGCATCAAATCGGACCACGCTGATTAGAGCACGATTCCTCACTGAGAAACACTGGTTATCAACAGGGGTGTTCAGGAGACTAACGTCGCCACGCCGGTTAAATGGAGCCCTTCAACACCCAACAACAAATTGTGGGAGGTTGCGTTAGTGAAAAGCAGAAGAAAATATCTTTTTTTTTCCAAAGAGAGCAAATTACAAAGGTGTAATAAAAAGATGGACGGATATGTGGTCAGCTGGAGCCAAACACGAAATTAGCTTGACAAATTGGACAAAAGACGTTATTGCACCCACTTATCTTCTACAAAGCAAAACCGAAATTCATTGGGCGAGGCAACTGACCAATCGCGACACCGCACTAAATGTCAAAAAACACTCACGTCAACAAATAGCCTGCAAGTCGGACAGCGATGGAAGTTCTGAGAGCGGAACTTCATTGCAACGAGATCGTCGGCCATATTTGAGCCCGCCAACTGCAACTGTCGCTCTAAGAGCAGCCTACGTTTCGCGGGATCCGGTTCGTGGGCTATCCGCCACAAGATTGCGCCGTTGTCCTCTAAAGCAACAACAACGTGCAAATCACCTTCACAACCGCGTTTACCAAATCCAAGAGCTTCGAAATTGTAAATGCGATTCCCGTTTAAGCCCATAATGACCGCGCAAATTACAAACACCCAAATGAGCTTTAGTAAGCATAACTTCGCCATAAACGTAGAGCGCTGCATCATCCACGCATTTCATACCACGCTCTCTAAGATTAGAAAATGTGTGTGAAACGGCGTCTTTCGTTGTCCTTAAGAAAAGACACACATGTAAATTTAAAGACTACATGCCCCTTTCGAAGTAGGAAATTATTCGCCATGTGAAATCGTCAACTGACACCAATTGTGCGACAACACCGGTTCCCAGTAAGGACCTACAAATTCCCCAAATGATGACGGCTGTGTTGTGCGTCAAGTTACATACCAAAAACACTGACGCAGTGCCGGCACTAACTGCCACCTACAGCAAAACCGCCTAAAACAAAACCAGCATCGTAGCTGCAGCACTGCTAATTACCGGCAGATACATTCTTATGCCACGCACCTGTGCAACGCATTGTCTTGACAAACAAACCATCCACTATCTCCTCAACTTGGCCTTCTTCCATCCACCAAATCGCAAACGAGGACACACCACCACCTTTACAAGCACAAACTGCGGACCGCGTCGGATAAGGCACAATGTTCCCATCAAAGCCGTTCAATTCCCTCAAAGGCTGCCATAACATCGAGTGCTCGGAAATGAATAAGGATAGAGCATCTTCCACGAAACAATTCTGGACGTGAACTACATAGCACTGACTTCAAACATTCAAAGTTACTAAGCTCAATCAACACTATTTAAAAATGAGGTGGACATGGACACTGGTAACAGACTGTCTGTGATCAATTTCGCCAAATTAGACTCCACTCTTCAACACCTTCATGCCAAGCCACTACCCACCTCACCTCCAAGTGCGGCGTCACGCATTACACACCACCGCAACACCCAATTCCACTGGCACTTATGCCAAACCATGTCGGCAAAGGACTCACCTTTGCCATCGCCGTCGTCTTCCTCTTCTTCTTCGTCTTCACTCTCACCAGCATCCGCGGTGGCCGCCTGTTTGCACTCAGTTCCACGGTGGTATAGCCGCAGACACTGTGGACAGAAGGCGTGCCGGCAAACGGGGCAGCGAGCCAAGTACTCGTCGTCAGCCAAGCAGGTGCCACTGCATCCCGCGCGCGGACAACGCACCACGTCCTCCATCATCGACAAACTGCGTTGCAGCAGGAGCTCGTCGTA